CTGGCGCCAGGAGCGAGGCAGCAGGCGTGCTCAGGCCGCTACGTGCGCCTCTCTGCCCTCAGGGTAGCAGGCAGCTGCAGGAGAAATCCCTGAAAATTTCCTCTACGCTGTATGTTGGCAACCTCTCCTTCTACACCACCGAGGAGCAGATTCAGGAGCTCTTCTCCAAGTGCGGAGACGTCAAGAGGATCGTCATGGGGTTGGACAAGATCAAGAAAACCCCCTGTGGCTTCTGCTTTGTCGAGTATCCTTTCAGGTTTCCTTCTGCTGTCCACATCTGCTTGCCATCTCTAGTTTCTTTCTGCACAGTGAGCTCAGCTGTGCTGCTCTGGAAAACCTGGAAAGGAGTGATTGTCAAGTACTTTCTACCGGGCACTTCCAACCACAGCAAGACCTTAATTGGTAGACTGGAGTGGTGCCATAGGTGAAAAGTGTACTGGTGTACTTTCTGGAGGTGGCAGAGAGTTTTAATCGAGTAATTTATTTTTATGGTTTTAAGGCCAAAATGAGCGCTGTTGCCATTGTCAGTCCAAGCTCTTGCATGGTCGGAGCACATGTTCCTTCTTTTTACCTTAGTTTTATACCTGAAAGAAGTAGCAGAATGAGCCATGGTGATATTCCCAAGCACAGGGGACACGCTTGTACAAGTCATACCATGACCTGTCTTTGCAAGGCCCTCCTGTGAGGGCTGCCCCTGTTGTTCAGATCCAGTCACGTTTTATGTAGTATAAAAAGGCATATTACATATTTTTTGCCCTTAGCAAGGCATTAATGTGTTTGTTCCACATATTTGTGAAATAAGTGATCCAAAGCTGCTACTTGCCTGTGCAGGTACTAATGTTAAAGTTCGGAATCCTTTCTAAGTGGGAGCTGATTTTTAGCATGTAGTTATATGAATGCGGTTCTTGATCCCATAGAAAAGAACAGAAGTAGAAGAGGCTCTAAGGCAGAGTTTTTCTATTTCTCACAATAAGATAGTTCTCTTTTTTTGTTTTCCCTGTGCCAAAAAAAATAACACACTTAGTTCTCCTTATAGCCTGCTTCAGATACTACACAAGAGCAGACGCTGAACACGCAATGCGATTTATCAATGGCACACGACTAGATGACCGCATCATTCGAACTGACTGGGATGCAGGGTTTAAGGAGGGACGACAGTATGGAAGGGGAAAGACTGGAGGACAGGTAAAGGCAATGCAAGTTCATAGCTTGAATTTGATTCTCCTAAGATGGTGTACTGCTTTGCTAGTTTTGTCTCATGCAGAGCAATGTGTAGACTGTGAAGACCTGATAATGAACTTTAGCCACTCCCAGGTTGTTTTGCTAACTGATGCCTGGTGTTAAAAGCTAGAGATATAATTTAAGACCATTTCTATTTAGGAGTCAAAATTTCTTGCAATGCAAGCAGAATTTGCCTAATCCACTAGCTTAAAATGATGCCGAGTTTGAATGAAGAGGGACAGCATAGCTGCTAGGCCAATCTCATAGCACAGCAGTTTGACCCCATGTGAAGGTGAGATTCCTTTGCAGATTTTCAGGGTAGAGGGGAGAAAATGTTCTGGAGGCCAAGGTTGGCAATTCAGACTGCAAAGCTGAATTAAAATATTTCAGGGTCTTCTTTGCTTTTTCTCTAAAAAGACTTCAGCAATCCGATATATATCTGTCATTTTCATCACCGTTACTATTTTTTTTTGTGGATTATTTGAAGAAATTTCAAATGAGTCAAAGTGCTTCTAACCTAAACTGTGGTTCCCCACTAGCTGAGCAAGGAGGAGATGATGATTCTGAAATCTTAACAGGAGTCAGGCAGTACAGGGTACTAATATCTTTTTTACTTCTGTGCCCCAGGTGCGAGATGAGTACCGGACAGACTACGATGTGGGAAGAGGTGGCTTTGGCAAGATCATTCAGATGCAGAAGGCAAATCATCAGCCTGCAATCTATTAATTTCCTTGTGGATCTTAGCTCATAGAGGACTTTGTCTTTCCAGAGCTAGCTAGCCCTTTTCTTACATTCTGGACTGGGGTACGGAGTGACGTCCAAGTTGCAGCAAAAGGTGACCCTCCTTAGACTGTGAATATACATGTATTCATTCCCCCTTCTTTCCGGGCTAGAGAGGATGTTCTGTGCTGATACAGGGCAAGAAGGGAAAATTAAATGGACAGCTCTGCAGGATTGTGGGTAAGAATAAATGCAGCACGTCACACACACCTTGTGCTATGACATACTCTTCATGTTGCAGCTAAGCAGGTGGCTTCCTCCAACCTGCAGCTGCAGCCATGGTTGCTTTCAAGTGGAACTTCCTAAAAGCTTACCACCATTGGCGCCCTCCAGGTGCCTGGGCACCTTGTGGTGATGCACAGGAGATTCAGTTTTCTAATGTGCAACCTCATCTGCTTACAAAGCAGTATCACTGTTTGGATGAGAAGTGGAACAAGGTCGTCTTGCCCACTTGGAAGTGGTTGTCCAGCCCTTGGGTTGGTCAGGGCCTGCAGAGCATTTCTCTTCATGATGCCCCCAGTGCTGCCTGGCTTTTCAGATCCTTACTGCTTGGCATGATTTTGTTAAAAGTTTCATCTAATTTTTTAAATAAACACTTGTATTGGGTCTGGCTGCGATGGAGTTAATTTTCCCCCTATAAGCCCTCATAGTGCTGTGTTTTGTGGCAGCAAGAAAAGTGTTGATCGTGCACATGTTTTGGCTACTGCCGAGCAGTACTCACACTGCATCGAGACTCTCTCCAACGTTTCATCTCCTCACCCAGGAGACTGGAGGTGGACAAGTTCTTGGGAGGAGACAGAGCCAGGATAGCTAATCCAAACTGACCAAAGGCATTTTCCGTACTACATGACATCTGCTTAGCAAGAAAAGTTAAAGAGAAAGGAGGGAAGGGAATTCGTTGTGATAACATTTGTCTTCTGGAGCAACTGCTACACCTACTGAAGTCCTACCTCCTGGGAAGTGGCTGGACATAAGCTGCTGGTGGGAGGTGGAGAATAAATATTTTCCTTTGCTACTGCATGCAGCCTCGCTTTTGCTTTATTAAGCTGACTTTATCTGAACCCATGAGTTCTTTTCCATCTTACTTTCTCCTCCTCTGACCTGCTGAGGAGGTGAGTGATAGAGCGGCTTGTTGGGCACCTGACATCCAGCCACAGTCAACACACTGCAATTCTTTTTGGCACCCAACATGGAGCCTGAGACAATGGCAGTTTTGTATTAAGCGTGCTACAGCTATAGCAGTTATTAATACAAGCTTCTCTGTGGCTCATGGAGTTTGTTGACTGCACTGCTTTATGTCTTTGTTTTGCTGAGCTTGGGAACATGTTAGTACAAACAACACCTATATGCTTTGCCCTGGAATCAATGGCCTTGCTTGTATTGGCAGAGCTGTCTTGTGGAGAAGGTGAGGGGAATACATTTCCCTCTTCCACCCTGGGATTCATGTGGGTGGGTTTATTATGCAAGCTCCCAGGGTCCATGTGCACTCTTACCTGAGCTGTTTAATACTACTAATTAACACTGTTCACCTATAGGGCTTGTGGAATCTGATGGTGTTCTGCTGTAAGAGAAGACACCTTTTGGGTAGGGCAATACCAAAATGTGCCCTGAGGTAGCTGGTTCCTGGGTGGTGGCGTGTGGAAGGATTTGGTTGGGCAGGTGCCTGAGGTGGTTATCAGCTCCCATAGCCTGGGACTTAAGAGCTGAACAGGCAAGTAACCCTGTCAAACTGGGCATGCCACCTGCCAGAAGGGTCCTTTGCCTACCCCAATGAGAACAAGCAGCTTCTAGCACTGTGCTGGAGCTTGACCTATGGCTACTGAGCTACAGTTCAGTACTATCAGAGGATGGTGGCTAAGGCAGAGACCCAAGCCATGTCTGAGAATACCTTGACTGAGACCAGAGTGCAAACTACCGCAGTGCAAACTGTATATGAGGTCATGATAGAGACAAACAACAATTACAATTGCCCCAGTAGTGAAAAAGAAACTGGACAAGGAGGTCAATGGGTCCATAACATTGACTAGTAAGGAGGAAGAAGAGGAAGGGTTTGATCAAGAAGCTGGTTCTTCAGCAAAGAAACTGGAGAAAGGAGTGAGAATTCAGACAAGCAACAACCTAGTCTCTGACAGACACCAGTCAAGCGAGTTGATTACTGCCTGACTGCTCCGATGCTGAGATAATGGGGCCAATAGTCATTGGGAAGGTAGGAAAGCCCAACAGCTGGAATCCTAGCTAGAAACCACAGAGTTGAGAGTGGAATTGAGCTAGCTGCCTAGCTATTTGCAGTCTAGATATGGCTCTTCTCAAGTGTTAGGGCAAGATACCCACTCAAAGAAGATTAACTTCCTGGGGAAGTGGACTATGGCAGATTAAGGCATCCAGCACGTGAGAGTATTAGCAGTGCTGGAAGTCATCTACAGTGATCTAGAAAATGTGATCCAGAGGATGTCCTGTGTACACAGGCCATGTGGAGGAAGGTGATTCAAAGTGGCAGGTATCATATTCTAACAGCTTGGCAATGCTGTTTTGCCTGGATATGGATAACCAACTATGGAGAGAGTGTCTTCTTGATTCCAAAACTTTCAAGAAAATTTCTTTTCTTCCTTATTATATGGGCCAGTGTCTTAGCTGTCAGGGTCATCCCAAGAAGTCAGGCAGTCTTCTCCTGCCCCAGTCAGAGAGAAAGGGAGCTCCAGGTACGTGCTGTATGGTGCACTCTTGTTCCTCCTGTGTGGCCAGGGGAAGGACATGAGGAAGTGGGATTGTGAACCCACTTGTGAACCCACTTTTAAGCTGGAGGCCTGTGTATGTGAATTGAGAGGCAAGACAGCTATTAAGAAGGGCTCACCCAAGCAGGCTGTCAGATTAGTTGCTGTAGAGACACAAGAAAGCACTCGGCAATCTCTCAGACCTGGAAGTACTGAGATCTCTTCCCTTGATCCTGGTGAGGGAACTTCTGGTCTGGTGCTGAAAGGGTCAAACAGTGAATACTCTGACCAGGAACAGGAAGAGAGGGTCCCTGCCCTTAGCCAGGAGGAGGAAAGGGATGAGGTGTATACTGCACTGTGTGGATTCAATGGCCTGGCACATCAGATGTATAGAAGTGTTGTGATTTTCAAAGGGAAGGTCACAAAAACGACAGAACTTATCTACACGTAGATAAGCCGGCACTTCTTTATTGCAGCGCAGGGAAGCTTGGAAGTCATCCAATGCTTCGAATAACTCACAAAAATTCAATCTATTTATACAGTCTTTTACAAAGTTATAATATTTTAACATAAACATGTATATACTGTCCGCTATTAATTTTAACCTTTATAATGATTGGTTCAACCCTTATTAATATTCATATATCTTATTTCCATACAATCGCTGGCAATTTGGTGAGACCACATTTAACCACAAAACAAAAATGGGGGAGTAGGGAGGCAGGGAGGCATGCTTGCGTGAAATGCAACCTACTGATCTGTCTATATAAAATATGCTGGTATGGTTTAGAGTCTCCAGGTCCACGGTCGCTTTCTTCACCCGAGTGTAGTGGATACACATGTCTGATTCAGCAATCTTGAGTGCAGTGAAGGTGGCCAACAACACTTGGTACGGTCCTTTCCACCTTTCTCTCAAAGGCTCTTCATTCCAAACCTTCACGTATACATAATCTCCTGGTTGTATTTCATGGACTGGATTTTCCAGAGTCAAAGGTTGGTTCCACACCAACGTACTTTGGAGCCTGGCTAAGGTTTTTCCGAGAGAAAGCACATAGTTATAGATATGTTGTTTCCCTGATACATGCATCTGTGGATTAGGTTCAGGACTTTCATATGATTTTCCATACATTATTTCATATGGACTTGCTGACATCCCACTTCAAGGTTTTACTCTTATTTGTAACAGTGCAAGTGGGAGCACCTGAGGCCATTGTACAGTTTCTTTAGCTTCATTGGTGCGACAGGGAAAGGCTTCTGGCCATCCAGAAAAAGTGTCAACCCCAACAAATATGTATTTATACCCTCTACACCTAGGTAGCTCTGTAAGTCTATCTGCCAGTAATCTCCTGGCTCTACTCCTGTTTTTATTTTGCCCGTTTTAACTTTCTTTAGGGCTATTGGATTACTCTTTAAGCAAATTTCACATTTTGCTGTGACTGATGTAGCCATTTCTAACATTCGTACTGATACTACACTCCTTTTTAGGGTTGTACAATAGCTTGATGTGCTTTACAGTGCATGATTTCCAAGCTTCCCAGCGCTGCAATAAAGAAGTGCCGGCTTATCTACGTGTAGATAAGTTCTGTCGTTTTTGCGACCTTCCCTTTGAAAAATCACAACAGAAGTATAAGGCTTTAGTAGACACTAGTGCACGGTGTACACTGGTGCCATCAGGGTATAGGGACACAGAACTCATGGATTTCTGGAGTGACACAGGGATGCCAAGAATTGTCTGTATTGGAGGCTCAGGTGTCTTAACAGGGGACACGTGGGAAAAACACCCCATTGTGACCAGCCCAGAGGCCCCTTATACCTTGGCATAGACTAGTTCAGGAGAGGGTACTTTAAAGACCCAGAAGGGTAGCAATGGGCTTTTGGTGTAGCCACTGTGAACACAGGGGAAATCAGTCATCTACCCTGCCTGACCTCTCAGAAGATCCTTCATTGTAAGATTGTCGCACTGGCAGCAATAGTGCATGAGTTGAGACTCCCTGGCTCACATCCATGAGCTGGTTCATCAGTTGGAGAACCAAAGAGTGATCAGTAAGACTCACTCACCCTTTAATAGTCCCATACAGCCAGTGCAAAAGTCTGATGGAGGGCAGCCAAGTGGTATGCTGCAACTGACATTGCTAATGTGATTTTTTTTCCAATTCCTTTGGCAGCAGAGTGCAAGCCACATTTTGCTTTCACATGGAGGGGTGTCTGATACACCTGGAACTGACTGCCCTGGCGCTGAAAGCACAGCCCTACCATTTGTCATGGACTAGGACTGCATTGAACAAGGGTAATGCCCCTGAACATCTACAATAGTAGATGAAGTGTTTGAGAACAGAAAAAGATTAATTCAGATTCTTCTGAAAACTAGTTTCACCATTAAAAGAAGCAAGATCAAGGGACCTGCACAGGAGATTGAGTTCTCATGAATAAAATGGCAGAATGGACACTGTGGATGTAATCAACAAGATACCAACTATGTCTCCACCAGCTAACAAGAAGGAAACACAAGCTTTCCTAGGCCTTATGGGATTCTGGAAAATGCATATTCCAGGTTATAGTCAGCTTGTGAGCCCTATCAGGTAACTCGAAAGAAGTGAGTAGAGGTCTTGAATGACAACAAGCCTTTGAGCATATGGAACAGGAGAGCTCAGGTTGTAGCTCTTGGGCCTGTCCAGACAGGACCAGCTGTGCAAAATGTACTCTAAATTGCAGCTGCGGAGCATGGTCTCACCTGGAGCCTCTGGCAGAAAACATCAGGATAAATCTGAAGTCAACCATTAGGGTTTTGGAGCTAGGGGTCCACTACACCTTGACTGAAAAAGAGACACTAGCAACATATGAGAGGGTTCCAACTGCTTTGGAAGTTGTTGGTACAGAAGCACCTCTCCTCTTGGCACCC